CCTATGCTAACGAAACAAGTCACAACTAAAAGGTTAAATAATCCATGGCTTACAAAGGGGATACTTACATCTATTAATAAAAAACATGACCTTGAGAAGAAGTATAGGTTAGGAGTTGTCTCCAAAGAAATTTCAAAGATTTTCTCATCAATGCTATCTAAAATAATTAGGAGAGCCAAAATAAAATACTACGAAAATAAATTTACCCAAATAAAGGGCAACATTAAGAAAACATGGAGCACTATTTCCCAAATATTTGGATCAAAAAAGATTTTAAATAAAAAACCAATACTCCTATCCAATAGCAATGGTGGGCTTTCAGCCTCTGATACTGCTACTGAATTCAATAGGTTCTTCTCATCCATTGGGTCATCAATTGCTAATGATATTCCATCCTCTCGTACTAATGTTAAGGACTACCTTCTTACAGGTAACTATCCAGAGTCTCTGTACCTATCTCCCGCTAATTCCAATGATGTCAATGAGATAATACTTTCTCTTAAAACAAAGTCTAGTGCCTTTGCTGAGATACCATCTCTAATTTACAAAAAAGCCTCCAGATTTTTAGCTCCTGCCATTGTATTGCTCTACAACAAGTCACTTGAACTCCAAACCTTTCCAGATATTCTAAAAAAAAAGCGAGAGTAACCCCAGTCCACAAATGTGGTGATCTCACTGATGTCAACAATTTCAGACCTATATTAATTTTGCCAAACTTGTCAAAAATATTTGAAAAACTAATCTACAAGCAACTTTACTCTTATCTAGCCAAACACAATATACTTACCTCTTGCCAATATAGCTTCAGACCCCCAAAAAAGCACTAACGATGCACTTAAATATGATTAACTTGATACATGCAACTCTTGATAAAAATGAGTTTCCTGTTGGTTTATTTGTTGACCTACATAAGGTTTTTGACACTGTCAACCACCAAAACCTTCTTTTTAAATGACATCATTATGGAGTCAGAGGTCACTCCCTCAATACCTTCAGTCTTACCTTACTGACGGGCTCCAGTAAAAATGTCACAGTGAATACTGAACTAAATAAAGTCCATCTTGGGCTAACAGCTAACAAACTCACTCTTAATATTGACAAAACTTTCTATATTTTATTTGGTAATAAATCCTTAAATCAAATTAATCTGAGAATAAACAATGTCCAAATCAGTAACAAAGTAGATGGGAAATTCCTTGGTGTCCTCATCGATAACAAGCTGAATTTCCAGGGAGATTCTAAATATAGCAAAAAAAAGTTTCTAAAACTGTTGGCATTCTTTCTAAGATCAGATATTATGTACCTCGCCCTGCCCTGGTGACGCTCTATTACTCTCTCATCTATCCTTATCTAAATTATGGTATTTGTGCTTGGGGTTCTACTATCCAAAATAATTTACGTCCTCTAATTACTCAACACAAAGCTGCTATTAGAACAATATCTAACTCTGGCCCCAGACAGCATCCGGTACCTTAAATCTTTGAATATGTTAGATATTAAGTCACTGCACATCCCTCTGTGTACTCTACATATTTAAAACTCTGAACTGTAATGTCAATCCTGACCTTAAAAGCTTCCTAGAAGGTTATATCAGAACCCATGGGCACCACACCAGAAACAAATACCTATTTGATATTCCTAGAGTGCGATTTAAAGAAACTAGAAATGCTCTACAAATCAAGGGACCCAGAATGTGAAATGACCTTCGTATTCATGTCAAAGGCTGTACACCTCTCATCCAGTTTAAGAGTAGAACTAAATACTACCTAATTAACTCCATGTAACCTACCTTACCCCTAAATGTCAACCCATGTCCTGCTATTTTAAACAATGCTGTTTGTTGACCAACTAGTACAATTGCTGATTTCAGCCATGTCCCCCATTTTTTATTATTCCTTTTTTGAACACACTTTATACTTTAATCTCATTTACTATTAAATTTTAGTCTGTCTTTTTTCACCCCCACACCTTGCCCAAAACGCTATGCGTATTAGTGGCTTTATTTATTTATTTATTTATTTATATACAGGAAGGTACATTGGGTTAGAGAGAATACATAGCATAGTATTTACAATCTTGTAAAGCCACTAGCACGCGCAGCGTTTCTAGCAGATACTGTATTTATCTTCAGATCTTTAGGTATTGTATGTACTAGCTCTATCTATAAATCCAACATTATGTTTGTAACTCTTCATCAATGTATGTACTTTTACCTGAATAAAAATTTGAATTTGAATCCCTTCTAGTACTCTACCATTTATTTCATGTGCTTGTAATTTCCCCTCCTGTCCTTCATGTAAATACATTATCAAACATCTGTCTGGGTAATGTTGATGTTGTCTTTCCTAGTGTGAACACTGATGTAAAGTATTTAATGTTTGCTGTCCTTTTGTCGTCTATTATCACTTGGCTGGTCTCATCTTTTAATGGGCCTACTCAGTCTTTTGTCTTTGTTTTATGTTTTGTATTGGCATAAAACAATGAATCTTTTTTTTTAATTTTTTATTTTATTTATTTATATACAAGGTACTTTGGGTTGAGAAAGTATATATGTATATCTAATAATCTATCTAGTGGACTCATGTCTAGTGGATTCCTAGTGGACTGATACCTTTTCCAAAGAATGTGCTTAGTTTTTAGTTTACTACCTGTGTCATCCATTTTCGTTTCCCCTCTCCTTCTTGGCACGTATTTTTGAACAAGTTCAGAGTTCATTCCATTGTGAAAATTTCCTTTGATGATTCAATGTCTTGATGCCCTATTAACTCCATCCAGTCGGCATTTTGCAATTCTTTTCTCATTCTATGATAGTCTCTTAGAAAGTAATTTAGAATGTCTTTGTCCTGGACTTTTATCTGAGTTTCTATAATTGTATTCGATCTTAAGAGCTTCTCCCCTACCAGAATCCGATCAGTCTGATATTCTTCTGGTATTAGCACGAAATCTAGAATGCTATTACCTCAGGTGGGCTCTGTCACATGTTCCTGAGTCGAGAAAGTGTCCTGTACCAGGTCCTGAAATTGTTCCCCTTCCAATTGTCATGTTAGATTCATCCAATCTGTTGTCTTTTGGTTAGTGTCAGTAATACAGTCAGGTTCATCTCGACTCACAATCGAGAATCCAGGGTTCAAATCCAGGGCGGGACAGTAATGGGTGCCATTCATAAAGAAAAGGATCTTGGAGTAAAAATTCACTGAAAGTTGCATAACAGGTAGGAGCAGCAGTCAAAAAAAGCCAACCAAACTCTTGGAATGATCAAGCGTACCTTTGACTTTAAGGAAAAGAAGGTATTGATTCTATTGTATAAATCTCTGGTGCGCCCCCATTTGGATTACTGTATCCAAGCATGGAGACCACATCTTCAGAAGGACATAGCTGCTCTGGAGAAGGTGCAACACCGGGCAACAAAAATAATTCCAGAGCTAAGTCATCTCACGTATTAGGAACGGTTGAGGGCCATAGGGCTAACACTGAAAACCAGGCATGACAGGGCAGATCTCATTAAAACTTTCATTCATCCACAGGGTTATAAATACGTGGAACTGCCTACCCGCCGAAGCCGTAAATGCCAAAACTGTTAAATCTTAAAATCCATTTGAAAAAAATCAAGGCAAATGGGAGGACCTTCGACAAGCCGCTAGCTTCCTGTTCTCGTCGAGGCTACTATGGTATTAGTGGCCCTCAGGTAAATTCAGGTTGGGCATGTTTCTTTTCGCCTAATTCCTCTGTTCACTTATCAATACATAGATTCCTGGGCGTTGATCAACTGTTGTGGAGTGGCAGCCTGGAGAGGGTCAGTAGTTCGACCTTGGGTGGCCTCGATAAAACGGGTTATATAATAATAATAATAATAAAATCTTGGGCTTCAATTGCAGAATTAATCACATTAATTAAGAGATTGAAGTTAAAGAGGCTCCCTTCTTCATTTAAAGCTAAAGTGATCAGCTAAGAGTGGCACTTTAAGTACTATACATTCAGGGTAGTGAACCGAGTGTAACTCCTCTCACATTTTAAGTACATTAATTAAAAGAGTGAAGTGGGAGAGGCTCTTCTATTTAAAGTACATTTAAAGGAGTGAATTGAGACTCTCGTTGTTGTTTTAGATTTAGCTACTCAGAACGAAATGTCCATGTAGCACGGGCTATGGTAAGCCCGTACTGGGGCTCACCTCATGGGACATGAGAGAGACTCGTTGTTATTGTTGTTTAAGATTCGCTACTTGGAACAAAAAGTTCCAAGTAGCACGGGCTATGGTGAGCCCGTTGAGAGAGACTCATGTCCCCATCTTAAGTACTTAAGGGAGTGAGGTTAGAGTGGCTCCCTCCCCCATTTTAAGTACATTAAAGGAGTGAGGTGAGAGTGGCTCCCTCCCCCATTTTAAGCACATTAAGGGAGTGAGATGAGAGTGGCTCCCTCCCCCATTTTAAGCACATTAAGGGAGTGAGATGAGAGTGGCTCCCTCCCTCATTTTAAGTACATTATGGGAGTGAGGTGAGAGTGGCTCCCTCCCCCATTTTAAGCACATTAAGGGAGTGAGATGAGAGTGGCTCCCTCCCCCATTTTAAGCACATTAAGGGAGTGAGATGAGAGTGGCTCCCTCCCCCATTTTAAGCACATTAAGGGAGTGAGATGAGAGTGGCTCCCTCCCCCATTTTAAGCACATTTAAGTGAGATGAGAGTGGCTCCCTCCCTCATTTTAAGTACATTATGGGAGTGAGGTGAGAGGAGTGGCTCCCTCCCCCATTTTAAGCACATTAAGGGAGTGAGATGAGAGTGGCTCCCTCCCCCATTTTAAGTGCATTACGGGAGTGAGGTTAGGGATGGGGGGTGGCCCTCAAGGGTGGTGGGAGGGCTGAGTGCCTCGCGCCGTGAGAGTAAACACGCGCATTCCTCTCCTCGCGTGTTTATTGTCGGGGATGATGGGAAGTCAGAGTCGATGCCACGAGCGCCTTATTCTCGCTTCAATAAAATAAACCCATAGAAATCCCCCGGGGCAGGCTGTAAGGGTTAGCGGACAATGGGGCTGAAATTGTCGAGGCGGCACTAGAGCGGGAGGAGGGCCGAGGGGGCGGCAGAGAGCGGCACAGACGGGTTAAGGCGACGTTCTGTGTACACTTCCTCAAATTGAGCTCGCAAGAGGGCGGCTGTTCCCCCGAGCAGATTCTTCCCCCGGCAACGCGGCTCACTTTATCCGGTTATTCCTCCAGGAGGCCTTTTGTGGCGGCCCGAAGCCCGTGAAGTGACACTAACCAAGTCACGGCGGCCCCCGGGGCAGGAGTTTAGCGTGTATATAAGAGTGGGGTGTGTGTGAGGGGCAATTGAGCGAGCGGGGAGGCGCCACACTCTCGCCTGCACCAAACCCCACCCCATTTGGCTTAGATTTGACCTGTGTGAAGGAAATAACAAAAAATTGAGAAAATTCCCCGATTACGCGCCGCTTCCCCTCTGTGGAGAAAGGTGGGGAAAGAGAAGAGGAAGGAGGCTAGTTTAGTAAGGAGATTGTAGTGAAAGTCGTCAAAATTAACGCGATAATATTAGTTGATCAGCAAACATGGCGTGCTGCTTAAGCGAAGAAGCCAAGGAACAGAAGAGGATAAACCAAGAGATAGAGCGACAATTACGCAAGGATAAGAGAGATGCTCGAAGAGAACTTAAACTACTGTTATTGGGTAAGCCAGCCAGGGTCATTTTGGGGTTCTTAGGGCCGTGGAAGTTGGATAAATGGACAAACACCCAAAGTGTTACGATTTGGGTCGTCTGCTAGTTGACCCTCATCCGTCAACAATTTTTGTTTACACTGTGCTCAGGTGTCCATTTTGGGGTGAAATAGTTGACCTGGGCTCATCTTTGATGTGTGTAGAGCAGCGGGAGGTGCGTAAACCTGTGTAAACTAGCTGTGGGAGTGTAATAATTGGGGGGTTTGTTTTCGAGTGTGTACTAGTGTTGTCTGTGGCTCAGCTGATTGCCGTTCCTGTTGCCCCTGTGCATATTGACAGGTCATCAACGGGACTAAAACGCCCTGTTACCCCCTGTGTGTATTGACAATTCATCAACGGGACAAAAACGTCGTGTTACGCTGTGTAAATTGACAGTTCATCAACAGGACTACAACGCCCCTGTTATTCTGCATATTGACAATTCATCAATGTGACTACAATGCCTTGTTGCTCTGTGCATATTGACGGTTCATCAGTAGTGTTACAATGCCCTGTTGCTCTGTGCATATTGATGGTTCATCAATACGACTATAATGCCCTGTTATTCTGTGCATATTGACAGTTCATCAATACTGTACATTGATGCAAAAGCCACTTAACACACACACAGCGTTTCGGGCAGGTCTTTACCATTTTAACTTTATATATTTATAAATACTTTACAGGCATTTACATTTACTATTAATATGATTACAATGCCCTGTTGCTCAGTGCATATTAACTGTTCATCAATATCAGACAACAGTGTTGTTATTCTGTGCATATCGACAGTTCATCAATACGATTACAATGCCCTGTTGCTCTGTGCATATTGATGGTTCAACTGGGTACGATCCCCTTTCTAAGACCTTGCACCCAAAAGTGGGTAGAAATGTAATTAATTTTTATCACTACAGAGACATTGCTGCTGGGATCTTGCCAAGTCTTCCCCATTTACAGCATGCTCCTACAATTGTCACATTATCTAGACTTTGTATTAAGTTAGGTAAGGTTAGATTGGGCAGGTCATCATTTTTGGTAAGAAGCAAGCTGGAAGATATTTACTTCTTGACACCGTTATGGACAGACCTTGCGGTGAATGTAGTGTTCTCGGTAATAAATTTGGTGTATCATTGTAAAGGCAAAATTTTACTATTAATTTTAAAATTAACCTTTAAAAATAGGTAGGCTATTGTGGAAAAGACGTATTTGTGAGCAGTTCCCTATTGTCCGTCATCCAAATAGCACAGGTGATGTATATTGCATAATATTCATCACTATGGAGCTCTTCAGTCATTAGATATACATCATCACAGTGCCTTTGTAGCAATCAGTTTAGTTTAATTTATTATGGACACACACAACCTTCATGTGTTACTGAAAGGTTAGTCATATAATGGGTTCAGGAACTGGATATTAATTACAGTAGTTAAGTTGTTATTTATCTCAAATTTATGATAGTTGCATGGTAAGTAGTTTAATGACAGTACGGAATAGTAAATGTTATTTGGGAGATAACCAAGAAACCTGTAGGCAGTGTGAGCTTACAGTTTGTCTGCACTATTTAAAAAAAGTAAACTAGATACTGTATTTGGTTAGATATTTGAGTAATATGTCATCCCAGATTAAACGCCCATTTCTTGAACATTAGTACTCGCCTAGTTGTATTAGTGATGCAGTTTTCTTAAATTCTTTGCATTTTTCTATTTGATTACATAGTGCTGTAAGATCTGCAAATAGTTTTCCTGAGGTTTACATTTGGTCAGATCTACATCAGCAGGTGGTGCAAACTCCCAGGGGGTATTTATAGCTGAGCCTAAGCCAAGCAGTAGTAATATCTAGGAAGTCTGGTGACATTATTGGATAAACCATAGATATGTGGCTCTTTCTGACTAGTAGTATGACAGTGTAGATTTCACTTTCTGGGGCCAATTAAATTTTGGTGTTCTGAGTTTTTTTTTTTTTTACTTAATCTCTCCATCACCCTCGTCATCATCTCATCTGCTCCACACAACCTAACCTGTCTGCTAAAAAAAGATTCATGATTTAATAGCTTGTGGAAATTTGTGACAATTATATGGTTTGGGTCTAGGCTGCACTGTAATTGTCTTGAATCGAGTGAATTTAGGGAAGCCTTGGGCTTGGAGAAATCATTGGAGATTGTCATTAGGTGTTGGAAGAGTCAAGAGATTCATATATATATCCACCCAATTTAAGGTCCTTTGATTCAGCGTCTGGCTGGATTTAGCAGCCAGTTTTGGGACCAGTATTTGGGCCTTAATTTATGAAGTCAATATCCAGCAAAGAGAGATTGTAGTAGCAATTAAATTTGCTGTGCATGCTAATACATAAACAGGCAGCCATTATTTGGTTTGTTGTGGCACAACAACACAATCAAATAATTAGGCATGTATTTTCTTCGATGATTTTGTAGAGCTGGTGTAGGAATACATCTGTGCTTCCCTTGAGTGACTGGGAATGTACCAGTGTTTCCTTATAGTGACTAGAGGAATGTACGTCTTTTTCTGCAGTTGTGTTTGATACATGAGTGTAATTATCTAAGTAATTACCTTAGTTACAGGACGATAGCTACGTTTGTGGTGTTCCGTCTTCCCAGTACTCTTTGTCGCATAATACTTGGAAACTACTGACGGTTTTGGCCTCTACCACCTTCTCACTTAGCTTGTTCCAACTGTCTACCACTGTTTGCAAAAGGAAACTTTCTAATGTTTTTCTGGCACCTTTGTTTCCTTAGCTTGAATCTGTGTCCTCTTGTTCTTGATGTTGCTGGTTTCAGGAATTCTTCCTTGTCAATTTGGTTAATTCCTGTTAAAATTTTGTATGCGGTGATCATATCACCTCTCTTTCTTCTAGTTTTGGCATGTGTAATATGTCTAGTCTGTAATATGAAGTATCAGTGATTTAAATAAAAAAAAACATTAGCTTCCTCAAATTCAGTTTCAGAAACTATGTTCATAATGTGTACAAGTCATTACAAATTACCATATCTTTTTAATTATTTATTAGATTGAGTTCCTAAAGATACAGTACTTCATAGAAAATATTGAGTTAAAATGAGTTTTGGGTGTGGGAAAGTTGGTGCGCTAAGTTCATTGGTGTCGTGGTCTTTTTTTTTTTTTTTTAATAAGCTTTTAAGGGGCTGGATGCCAAGAAATACTGGCAGTGAGGGAGAAATCTCTATACACAGGTTCTCCTGGTAATTTTCCATTCTTTGATAGGATGAAATTTGAATTTCACTTGGTAAAATTCAACAATAAATGAGCCAGGTGTAGTAAAATCTCTTCTATAAAGATGGGCTCTCATGATAGTTGTCCATCATATGATAAAACAAAATTTTTGGAACATTCGATGGATTTCATCTGTAAATCCTTCAAAACTCTTATCTTCTTGCTCCTCGTTTATTTAAGAACGTAATAACATAAGAATAAAGGTAACTGCAGCAGGCCTATTGGCCTATATGAGGCAGCTCCTATTTATAACCACCCAATTCCACTCATATGTATGTCCAACCCACGATTGAAACAAACAAGGCACCCCACCTCCACCACGCTACGCAGCAACTGGTTCCACAAATTGACAACCCCTTCACCGAACCAGCACTCATTCAGGCGTTTCCCAAATCTAAACTTATCGAATTTGTACCCAGAAGTTGAGGGCTGCAAAAGCCTGAAGTGCAAAGCACAAGCTTGTAAATGAGCTGACATACAAATAAAAGCCGGATACATTAGCACAGCTGAAATGGTGGTCCAACGATGACCCCCATTGCACACCTTGGTGGGGGGGGGGGGAATTCCCCTGAACCCAGAAAATGGCTCTGAGCTTAAATAGAGTTTCAGCACACAATCCAACCAACAGAGATAAATGACCACCCTGCAGTACAGGTCTGGAAGGTGTTCCCTTCTCCCGTTTTTAAGTTCCTCAGCCGTACGTTTTAACAACCTAGATCACAATTGCTTCACAATCTGTAAAAACAAAATAAATAATTTTTCAGGAACTATGAACTAAGGGAATGTGAAAGTCTGGCTGTAATGGAAAGTAACACAATGAAACAACAGACAAGTAACAGATTATACAAGAAATTATGACTAACCTAAAACTAACAACAGAACAGGAATTCAACAGCTTTGTGAAAATACTTTAGATTTGGCAAACAAGCCCCGTCAATCCTTCAATCAGACGACAGGCCTCCAACTTGAGGAATTAACTTTGTCATCCTACGCTGGATGCATTCTAGTGAATTTATATCCATTCTAAAGTACGGCGACCAAAACTGAACTGCATAATTTAAACCAGAGAATACATGCAATTCAAGCCCCGTCAATCCTTCAATCAGACGACAGGCCTCCAACTTGAGGAATCAGACGACAGCCTCCAACTTGAGGAATTAACTTTGTCATCCTACGCTGGATGCATTCTAGTGAATTTATATCCATTCTAAAGTACGGCGACCCAAACTGAACTGCATAATTTAAACTATGAGGTTTTTAGATAAATTAGAGATAAATTAAACACATCAAAGAAATTCTGAGGAACGTATAGCAAGGTGGGCGAAAGTATTTAGATTCCCTAGAAAGGCGAAGAACCGTGGGCGACATGATAGAGGTGCACAAGTGGATGAATGGATACAACAAAGGGGATACCAACAGGGTACCAAAAGTATCAACACAAGACAGAACACGAAACAACGGGCACAAATTGGATAAGTTTAGATTTAGGAAAGACCTGGGCAAACACTGGTTGGGTAACAGGGCCGTTGATTTGTGGAACCAACCACCGCAAAACATTGTAAGCTGTGAGAAGTTTCTTCCACAAGTTCTTCAAAGTCACCACCTTGACTTTTACTCCACGCTTTAGCCCAGTTATGTACAGCTTCCTTAATCAAATATTTTTTTAATTTTCAAATTACTGTACATGTATTAGTTTTATTAATATTTTGTTGGCTCTGGTATCCA